AAAAAAAAAAAAAAAAGTAATGAGTCATGGGAATGTAATGTACAGCACGAGAAAAATATTATTGTAATAATTTTGTATGGTGACAGATGGTTACTAAACTTATGGAGGTGATCACATCATAAGGAATACGTCAAATTGCTGTGTATGTTATATACCTGAAATTAATATAAAATTGTACGTCAACTGTACTTTTTAAAAAATATGTTTTTATTGATTTCAGAGAGAGGGAGAGGGAGAGAGAGAGAGAGAAACATCAATGATGAGACAGTCATTGATCAGCTGCTTCCTGCACGGCCCCCACTGGGGATCGAGCCCACAACCTGGGCATGTGCCCTGACTAGGAATCAAACTGTGACCTCCAGGTCCATAGGTAGACGCTCAATCACTGAGCCATTCAGGCCGGGCTCAACTATATTTTAATTTTTGAAAAATAAAAATATTTAAAGTTTTTCAAAGTGAAATACTGGCAAGCTTTGGACAATTGTAAGAAAGGACCCCAGTCCCACTGGCTTAGCTCAGTGGTTGAGTGTCGACCTATGAACCAGGAGGTCACGGTTCGATTCCCAGTCAGGCACATGCCTGGGTTGTGGGCTCGATCCCCAGTAGGGGGCGTGCAGGAGGCAGCCGATCAATGGCTCTCATCATTGATGTTTCTATCTCTCTCTCCTTCTCCCTTCCTTGCTCTGAAATCAATAAAACATATTTTTAAAAAATTATAAAAAAATAAATAAATAAAAAAGAAAGGACCCCAAACACCTTCATAGCCCAAACAGTGTGGTTGAGAACTGTTGCTTCACAGCACAGGAAGTTTCCAACCTTGGCCGTGCCTGCTCTAGGTTCAAACAGGAGGGCAGAGCTGAGCTGAGAGAAGCCAAAATGATTGTCAGTCCCGATCTACAATGTAGTGAGATGTAGTTTTGTGTGACACCATGAGACAGATTTCTGAGAACTCTAAGCCCCTCTCCATTCTTAGCAGAGCAAAACCACAAGCCTGAAAGTTGCCCAGTGACTTAGGCAATCCAAGTTTGAAGATATCTATGGGGCCCTATGTGCTGAGGTGACAGGTGCTTCTAGACATCAGTGCCAGTGACACCAGATGACGCTTCTCTCTGGGCCCCCATTTTCCTGCAGGCTAAGCACCCTTTCAGGTTTTCTCACTGCGACAGAGCCTGGTTTCCATTCAAACATCCTGACTTCTTGAGAAAGTAAGCGCTAATCTTTTCATTTGTATTTGAATCCTCATGACTGGTCAGAGGTGTAACTCCACCTACCACAATCCACACAGCCATCCTCTTGGGTCAGATTTGTCAAAGATGACGAGGGACTTCTAATAACAAACATATCTCGGGTGTATTGATAAGTAGGAAGTCAGAAGAGAAAATAACTTGCTGCCCTGCTATGCTAATTTGTTGGCCAATTCATCGGAGGTGGCAGCTGATGCTCTAATGATAACTTACCAGGCAGAGGCAGCAGGAAAGTTTCTAAAAATGGCCTTTATTACAAGGCTTTCCTGAGTTTGGCTATACCCAGGCATTATGTCATTAGGAAAAACTGATGCCTCTCAGTAGAGAAAAAAGAAATCTGTTCCCAAAGCAGAGGCTTTCTGCAAGCTATTAGCTGTCTCCTTGAAATCATAACATTGAAGATTTCACAGCAACAGCATCAACACATTGTAAAGAAGCATGAGGCGATGTTTGACTGTCTGCCTTCTTCATTACTCACCCCCCTAGTAGGGGAGAGTGGGGGAGGAGAGGCGAGATGGCAAGCTGCTTTTTTCCAAATTCATTGACACTTAATAAACCAAGGCATAATGCTGAGACTTAGGAAAAAACATCTTTCTAGTAACCGGGAAAACTGGAGACTATACATCATTTTTCCTCCCAGGGGTAGAGGGCTGATTATCTGAGCAAAGATCATCCCTGAGTCTCCAAAGCAGTCAACATTTTTAGCGTTTTCTTCTTTCTTAAAATATATATTTTTTTCATTGGTTTCAGAGAGATGAAGGGAGAGGGAGAGAGAGACATAGAACATCAATGAAGAGAGAGTCATCATTGATCAGCTGCCTCCTGCAGGCCCCCTGCTGGGGATCGAGCCCAAAACCCAGGCATGTGCCCTGACCGGGAATCGAACTGAGATCTCCTGATTCATAGGTTGATGCTCAACCACTGAGCCACACCAGCCGGGCTAGCCTTTTCTTCTTTCACAGCATCAATTGTCATGGTATTGTTTTGGTCAGAGACAAAGAATGTTTACCTCTCCAGGAGTCCCTTGGGGGCTGCCTGGCTCAGACCAGAGCAGCATTAAAGAGGAGGGTGGAAGGAGAGGTCTGAATCCCCCCCTCCAGACTCTTCTTGGAGTCAGCCTTTCCCTCCTTCAGTCTCTGGCTATTAATCTCTGCACCTCTGAGGCTTAGAAGGAGCCACTGCTAGGAAAGAGGAGCTGTCTCATTCTGGATTCTCTCTCAAAAAATACCTGAGACTCAGATAACCATAAACTGATTACACTAAAATAGATGGTGAAGATGTCTGACGGCAATTTGGTGGAATAATATTAGTAACAATAAGCACATGGCCAGCACGTTGAAACTCTGTGCTCCCACTCACATTCATGGTTCCGTTGATCTCTGCCACTGACTCGTCATCTGTAGGAAACTGGTAGATCTGGACCCCGTTGCTGACAAGCTCACTGGTGATTTTGATTTTGAACTTGGTTAGCTCACTCTTAGAAATGGCATCGGATTTGGCAATGATGGGGATGATGTTCACCTAGGGAAGCGGGGAGCAAAGTGGGAACGTCGTTGGTAATCTGCAACTGAGAGCAGCACGGTTTAGGACTTCCACCAGCTGCCAGAGAGAGCAGCTCAGCCCAATGGTCTAGGACTGGCCACCTCTGTAGCCAAATAATATAATCAATGACAATGAGTGCTTAAAAAGTGTTGGCTGCTGAAGTGAGTGCTTTACACGGATTTACACAATCCCGACAATAACCCTCTTAGGAGGTATCATTACCACTATTTTACCAATGAGAAACTGAGGCATAGAGAGGTTAAACAACTTGTTCAAGGCCCCAGAGCAGGTAAGTAGCAGGACTGGGATCCAAATCCAAATGTAGCCTTATTCGTAAGTCCACAGTCTTAACCATGAGCTGTCTACCAGCTCAGATCCAAATTGATAAGCTGTGTGATGGCTTAATATCAAGGTCACTGCTCTGGTGATTTGCAGCAGAAAGATGACAGTTTGAAATCTGTGGTTGACAAGGGGAGAGCTAGCCACTTCTTGCTAACAGTAAACTGTCCCAGGCCATCCAGTGCATGCCAGCCCCAGCCAGGGTGATGGAGACCCACAAGGGGGATGGCAGGGCGGAGCTCAGTGAAGATGCACACCTGGCCCTCCTTCTGGCAGCGAACACCTATGAACCAACCCAGTTAGGTGAAGACCCTCTCAGTTACCAATCTGATCTGAGACATATTCAAAAAGAGTTATGCGCCTGAGTCTCGGGGTTCATTTCTGCATAAAGAAAGCAAGCATAAGTGCCCAATTTCAAACAGCAGAAGGAAGGTTTAATATCACCTCCAAATTCAAGCCACCTGAACCCCGATCCCTGAAATTCCTTTAAGAAGGGACAAGGCTTTTAGTGCTGGAAGGTAAAGAAACTTGAAATGCACATGGGTTAGTGAGACAGAGTGCGCCCAAGCTCAGGGTCACATGGAGAGCAGTCATTCCTGCCAGCAGCCTCCAATGGGGTGGCAATGGCTCGTGCTGGGGCCCTGAGAAGAGCTCTGAAATGGGGGCTTGGGAGCTTTAGGCTTCGAAGACAAATTCTGCCTCCTTTGCACATTGCCTCAGGAGCACCTCTAAAGACTAGTATCACACAGAGCTTCAGGTGAAAGGTCAGGGAAAGACTGGACCTTGGAGGTACCTCTCTTGAAGTCTTTTCTGGGAGGCTTGGGGGCCAAAGCCCTTGCCAAGGGGGGAAGAGCAGGCAGAGCCAATTCGCTTCATCACTTTTCATCACATCTCCACCCACATACTATAGACATATGCCAAAGGCTGCTTACTTAACCTGCCCACTCACCAGGCCACTAGCCCGTGGCTCTCTGCTGCCCTATACGCGGCACACAAGGCATGGCCACATTTCCAGAGCAGCCTTTTACTCGTGGGCGGTGAGCTCACTGCTGTGAAAAATGGAAAATTGCTTCTGTTCTGATTATAGCCAAAATTCAGTTTTTATAGTGGACGTGCTACTGAATAACTGCATATAAATTAGATTTTTGTAAAACAAACAACAAAAAAACCTTGGAGTCAGAAGGAGCTCAGCCTGAATCCAACCCATTATAAGCTGTCTAACATTGAGCAAGATGTTTGACTCTCTGTGCCTCCATTTCCTCATGTGTAAAATGGGAATAGTAACAGTATCTACCACATTGAATAACTAGAAAGGTGAAATAAAACAATGCATATAAAATGCTCACCACAGTGCCAGGCACCTATAAAATATTAGGGGGAAATGTACTAGTAATTAGGTTTTTCAAAGAATTCCATGGTCAATTCTTTTGTACAGCAAATAATCCTTTAACGTGACGAATCACTAATTTACACCTGGAGTGGGATTTGCATTTTTCATTTTCTCTTAAAGCAGGACATGCCTGATTCCCACGGCCATCTTTCTTGGGTATGGAGATGCCACAGATCTGAATTTGAATCTAGACTCTGCCAACAACCAGCTTAATGACAATGGGCAAGTCACTTAACCTCTCAGAGCCTCAGTTTTCTCCTCCGTAAAATGGGGACCAATGGCAGTGTTTGCCTCATAGGGTTCGTGTGAGGATTCCATGAGATGATCCGTGAAGCAGTCAGCACAATGGTGACACATGACAGTTTAACAGATGTCAGCTGCCATTATAAAAATCAGTATTAATAACAAGAACTTTCAAAGTCAAGTTTGCATGTTTGATTTTAGTACAGTTAACATGGGGACAAAGTAAAAACACCTTTCCATTGCCAAAGCCCGCGCCCCGAGACCAGGACAGCTATCCTGCTTGCGTGCACCCTTGTGCCCAGGAGGGAGCAGGCCAGAGAGACGGCTCAGGGCAAACCTGCACCCCGTGCTGGGAAAACAGAGTACTGGGCACAGGTTCTGGATCTATAGCACCATCCTTATGGAGGAAGGGGGAATGGAGGATAGAATGAAGAGGCCATAAAACCTCTCCTGGAAGCTGGCCTCTACTTCGCACGAGACCGGTAAGAGTGATCCAGTTTGCCCGGCCTCCCCCTGCTCTCGCCCCTGGCTCCGTACCTTGCTATCCAGCTTCTTCATTGTCACTAGGTCCAGAGACTTCAGGGAATGGCCCGTGGGGGCAATGAAGTACAAGCAGGCGTGGATGCGGGAGTCGTGGTAGGTGTGCAGGACCCTGCGGATCTTCAGCTCCTCCTGCAGGTAGGCTTCGAATTGGGCATCGATGAATTCCACGATGGGCTTGTAGCTGCAGGGGAGAGTAGGGCAACGCCCAGCCACTTCAAAAATGTTTTTGTTTGTTTTGTTTTTTTGTTGTTTGTGTGTTGGATGGTTGGTTGGTTAACCCTCACTCGAGGATATTTTTTCCATTGATTTTTAGAGAAAGTGGAAGGGAGGGAGGAGAGGGAAAGAAACATCAATGTGAGAGAGACATTGACTGGATGCCTCCCAAACAAATCCCAACTGGGTTGGGGATCAAACCTGCAATCCAGGTATGTGCCCTTGACCTGGAATGGAACCCACGTGTTCAGGCCAGTGCTTTAACCACTGAGCCACACTGGCCAGGGCAAAAAAAATGGGGGGTTTGATACAGTCCCTTGTAGAAGTTTAAAATGTCCTTGGTAATCTGACTCTCCCCATCTAGCTGGATTTCTCCATCTCCCCTCAGTGTGCTTCCAATCCCATCCGGCTGGTCACCTCCTTGGTCCCCACATGAGCCAAACTTACATCCACCTATGCGCCTTTACTCTGGAATGCCCATTTCTCTCTTCTCTTCCCAACCCTGCCCTCCCAGACCTCAGGGCCCAGTTGAATGGCCACTTCCTCCACTTATGCCAGAAATCCCCTCTGTGCGAGATACCCAGGGGTGGCCAGGACCTCTCTGTGACCCCAGTGCTGGGGAATCCTGTCAGAACACTCTGGGTTCCACTCAGTCTTGCAAGGCTCTCACTTGGCTCCCCTAAGGTCCAGATATTTTTCCAGTTCTCATTTCCTCCAAGGTTGTGACTTTAAAATCTACTTGGGCAAGCCCTGGCCGGTGTGGTTAGTGTTGGCCCATGTAGCAAAGGGTCCTGGGTTCAATTCCCGGTCAAGGGCATGTACCTGGGTTGCGGGTTCACTCCCTGCCCGATTGGGGCGTGTGCCAGAGGCAACCAATCCATGCGTCTCTCTCACATTGATGTTTCTCTCTCTCTCTCTCTCTCTCTCTCTCTCTCTCTCTCTCTCCCCCCTCCTTTCCTCCATTCTTTCCTCTCTCTCTGAAAGCAATGGAAAAAATATCCTCAAGTGAGGATTAACAAAAAATAAAATAAATAAAAATCTATTTGGGCAAAATTTGATAAAGATACTCCCCCCACCGCAGCCTTCACAGGTATACCCACACACCCGAGCTCACTGAGTCTCCACCACACACAGCCCCTCTCTGCGGCCCTCAGGTCTGGCCACGACTTCATGGACAACAAACAGTCCTGGCTCCTCCCTGTCCTAGGAAGCTTCTCACCTCTCCCCCAAGCCTTTCCTGCAGCCCCGGGAGCCTCTTTCTGCTCTACCTGGGTCAGCTTCACCTCAGCTCCGCCTGTTCTCGTCTCCCTGTCTATCTGCTGCCTCTCCATCTGGGGCTAGAAGAGGCCGGGGGCAGTGAGTCTGCAGATGCCACTGCCAGAAGGGGACCTGATCAAAGGAGGAACAGGACCCAGCCAGTGCCTCCTACCTGCAGCAGCCCTCAACCTGAGCATTTTTGAACGATCCCCCTTTTAGAGAAGGGAAAATAGCTTTTAAAGAAAGAATCACAGAATCCTAGGTTCTGGGAAGTACATGCAGAGGAGAGATTCAGGTGCAGAGTACCTCTGGAGCCCCAGAAAAAAAATCTAAAAATATAGTCCTTTCTTTCTTCCTTTGATCCCTGAGCCGAACATTGTTCTGAAGGGTCATAGCATCAAAGAAGCTCTTGGTTGCAGAGATCTTTAGAAGGTTCCTGAAGAATTAGGAGTCAGGGTGGGGGGTGCATCCCTTAGACTTATCTGATTAGTTTGTGGATGATTGGCTGGTTTGAATGATCTAATCGTGGCATGATTCATTTTTTTCTCCATTACAAAACTTTTTTTTACTTCAGTATTTTGCTCTATAAAAGGGATCAAAAAAGGAAAGAAAATGTGCATTTTTAGCCCCCCCCCCC